AATAAAAGGTGTTCAACCGAGTCGAAAGCCTTGTAAAGATAAAGAGTCTTAATCCCTGTTCATCAATAAAGGCAGTATAATCTAATAAATCTAGAACTAGTCTAATGTTATTATGAATGAGTCTTCCTATTATAAAAAGCCAGACTGTGTCTCACTAATTACGTCTGATATTCCTTTTTTGAGTCTTAGTGCCACAGATCCTGAAAATATCTTGTAACCCGTCTTTAATAAAGTGATAGGTCTTAAATTGTCCACCTGTCTTTTGTCTTTCCTGTTTTTGGGATTAGTGTGATCACTCCCTGTTTCATGGTTGTCATCAGTTCTTTTCTCTCAGTACTTTCTTTAAGCACTTCAAACCAAAGCACTCCTACCTCCTCCCAAAAGTATTTATAAAAATTATCAGTAACCCGGAAGATTTATTTCAGGCCATTCTCTTAACCGCTGCATCAAGTTCATCGATTTTAAGTTCAGCATCACAGAGTTCTTTGTAAGTTTTGTTGATTTGCGGGACCGAAAGTTTAATAGAAGTAAATAAAGAGTTACAGTCCTTGTCTGAGAAATGACATGTGTATATTTTGGAACAGAACATGTATACTTCTTTCTTAATTGATTGGGAATCTTTACACTCTTTATCATCTAAAGAGACTTGAGACGTGATTTTTCTGCTGACGACTTTTTTCCAAATTAAAAACACGTGAAGAATTTATTTTTCACCTGCTTCAATCCACTTTGCCCGGGATCTAGTGTAAGCCCCCTGTGCTCTGTTTAGATACACGTGATCCAGTTTGCATTGTAACTCCAAAGGTTTACTTTATCTTGAGGTGTTAAGTCAATTTAGCTACAACAGACATGTAATTCTTTAATTAAATTACTCTCATACTCATTTCTTTGTTTAGTCAACATTTTACTAAATTTAATGCTCATTTCTCTAATTCTGAGTTTAATAAATTCCCACTTGTTAATGTGGCCTATGATTGAATCATCCTCTTTTGTTTCATTTATTAGGTTTATTTTATTTTTTACTTTGATGCAGTACTCTTCATTTTCTAACAATTTAGCATTACATTTCCAAACCCTTTCTTGTATGTTGGTCTTCTGCGAGGCTCTAACGTTAATTCTATGAAGCAATGGTCTGATCATGGGCCTTTAGATATCAGCGTCAGTAGTGTGACTGGGAATATCATCACTTGACAACCAGTAGTCTAACCTGGATTTACATGTTCCATTTGGTTTATACCATGAGAAACTTTTAACATTTGGATTGAATTCTCTCCACATATCAAGTAAATTATTACTAGCCATAAAATCGTTTATAATTTTGTTATATTGAGGTGTCTCGGTTCTAGCAGGCCACCCAGCCACTCATTTGGTGTCAGATTCCAGTCTCCTCCCATCAGTAAATCATCTGTGAAATGTCGTCTTTTCAGTTCAGCAGTAACGTTGGACACGTGATTTAACATCAACAAGCTCTGGTTGTTTTTATTGTACCCATATGTACATTAATCAATATGAAAAGCACATCTTCCATTCTTACCACTGCTGTCAACCAGTGACCTTCTGGATCAGCCCGGAGTGTCAGGCTAAACAGGATCTTGTCGCCCCATTGATTTGACCTGATGAGTCACTTTCTGTGGAATGAGTCTATTGTAAAAGTAAACATTTAGTCTTTTGCCCCTTAAAACTAAAAACAAAGCTCTTCTTTTCACCAAGTCTTAAGCCCCTAACATTTAACGAACCAAATGAGATTTTAACACTAAACATGAAATGTAGTATAACTCAAATTACGAAATCTGAAATCTGTGATTAAACTATCAGTTGATAGTTTAATCACAGATTTCAGATTTTGCAGAGCCTTCATCAGAGCTACCACTTCTACATTTTCCACCTATAAAGTCATATCAGATCTAAACCACTTGTTGCTCCTTGTCGTTGATGCGATGACCTTCAATATATGCATGAGGCCCCTGAAGAAGGCCCGTTTTCCTGCCATTCTTGCCTGTTCAACGAGAGGCCATGAACGTCGTCTGTCTTCCAACTCCTCCTTCACTCTTCTTTGTGTAAACATGATAATGATCTGTCTGCTTTGATTTTCTTCTTTCTTTCCCAATCTGTGCACAACGTCCACAGCATCCTCCATTTTTGCACCGAGATCCGGGGCAGCTTTTGTAAAATGTTGATGACAGTCTCTGATGTTTTCATCCTTCTTCTCCTTAACCCCTCTCAACCGGAGACACCATCACATCTTGTAACGCTCTTGTTCCCTTAATTTTTCCTTTATCTCGTTATTTTCTTTCAATAAAAGTCCATTAGCTGCCTCCAGTTTCTCCACCTTTTGTTTGCATTCTTTTAGCTCCTCAGTATTGAGTTGCACAGCTTTAGCTATATTAGCTATCATAGCACTAGCTTGATGATTTTGCTCTCTAATATTCTCTAATTGTGTCTCCATTCTGGTTACTTTTGTCTGCAGACCCAATATCACATCAAAAATAGTGTTGTTGGATACTTGCGCCTCTGTGTCGTCGTCAGTTGGTTTGGTTTTCTTACCAGTCGGTTGTTTAATCGGAGTTGAGGGAGCCGAGTCATCATCATGGTCACGTTTAGTTAGCGTGGTCATTTGGGATTCAGTGCAGTCATGCTCTTTTGGCCTCTGCAGTTGTTGAGGCTTTAAAGGTAGAGATGTCCGGGATTTGATATTCTTGGATAGCTTCTGGGAATCCATCATTGAATTTCGGGTGGAAATAAGCAGAGTTAGTTAGCCAGAAAGTTGGTCTTATGTGGAGCTCTCAAAAACACAGCTTCTCAGTCCGCCATCTTGGTACCTCACCACGCAGCCCAACTGAGACCTTTAGTCTGTCTATGTTCGCCAACATGCTCTGCAGCATGGAAGGAAATAAGAAGGCACGTTGATTAAAGTAATCCCAATAAGAGCACTACTTAGAGAGCATAAATTACAGGAACAGCAGATCCCAGAAGACCATATAACATGTAGCTTTCTGAAGTCCTGGCAGGATGTAGTTAAAATTTGCAGATTAGAAGTTGAATCTAAAATTTTTAGGTTGTGTGCCTATGACTTGGATTTCGCACCAAATAGAACAGACAACAGATTTAAGTTATGGATCTCAAAAAGATTAACTACCTACTATTCATTTGTCCACAAAGGGACATTTCTGAGTTTTGAAACCTTACAGAAGGATCCTGGACTGGGAAAATAGGATTTTTTTTTCAGGTACCTACATGTGAAACATTATTTTAATGAAAATCTTAAAGGGACGTTGGAAAAAGGTGATTCAAAGTTCATGAAAGGATATCATTAATTAAGTCCAGATCAGACAACAAAATTGTCTCCAAACTGTATAATGCCATACAAATATCTAAACAAGAGAATATAGAATACATAAAGAAGAGATGGGAAAATGAAATTAAAGTAATGATCACACAGGAGAACTGGAAGAAAATACGTCAACTACAATGGGTCTCGACCGGATCAAACACATGGCGAGAATTGTGCTGGAAAAATATTGCAAGATTTTTTGTTGCACCCATTCGAGGGGGACACTTGTTGGAGACTTTGTGGGTCTAAGGGAGCCAACCACTTCCACATTTTCTGGGAGTGCCAGGTAATAAGACCCTACTGGGAAGAGATCCACAAACGTATTGAAAATGTATTTAATGTAAACATTCCATTGAACTGTGAAACGTTGTACTTGGGTAATTTAATGTTTGAAACATGGACCAACAAGGACAAAAAACTGTTGGCAGCCAGTAAAAAATCTGTCACGAGGAAATGGTTAAAGGCAGAACCACCCACAATTGATAAATGGATTCTCTTTGGCCTTAGGGTCCGACCCTTTGGTGGGTTAGGTGTTGTAACCATAATGATACGGGAACTAGTTCATCATGACCTGTCGCTTGAGCTAGTTGCGGGCGGGCTAACAGCTAGGCTAAAAGAAACACTTGTCGTAACACGTTAGCTGTAATGAAAAACCCTAAAGATACCAAGCTAATGCTACCTCTAAGGAAAGCTAGCTCGCCTTGACATGTTAGCTCGAGTTACACCTGTAACCACTCGATTATTTAAAAACTGAGCAGTGGGAACAACTCACCTTGACGCAGTCACTGCACCCAGATCTAACAAAGATGCTGCTTACGAAGCACCAACTTACGCAATACTGTTCAAGCTGACGCCAGGAACTGCATCATACTCCTTTATGGGATACCTAGGAACTGTTTAGCGGCTAACCTAGCTAGCCTGACTGCGCTGAGGGAGCTTGTTCTAGTTTCTCAAGGGAAGAAAGCGAGAATGAGTGGGAGGTGGTCGGTTGACTGTGGTGTCATGTTGGGGGCGGAGCCCTGAGCACAGCTCAACCGGTCTGTCTTTGACAGATGTAATGTCATTGGAGCTTCCATAGATGGTCACGCTGGAGCGTTTCCCATAGTGAATCACTGAACGAAGTTAGAAAAAGAACCCAAATAAAATTTTAAAAAGTATCTAAAATAACTAAACAGATGCCAACGGTAGAGCATAATCTTAGCTAAAAGTGGCTAGAAGAAACAAATAGAAGAGTAACTTAAAGGTAAAACTAGCTAAATGATGGCTATAAGTTAACAGTAGCATAAGAAAAAGAGTTGTTTGCTAAAGCAGATTTACAAGAGTCACAGACAGACAGACAGAGATACACACAGACAGAGAGACACATAGAAAGACAGACAGACAGAACAAGGAATAAACCCAATCTCCATCCATCCATTATCTTTACCCGCTTCATCCTTTTTGGGTCGCAGGGGTCACTGGTGCCCATATCCAGCAATCACTGTGCGAGAGGCGGGGTACACCCTGGACAGGTCGCAAGTCCATCACATGGCCACATAGACGACCTGACCCCAACCTAAACTTGTTACTGTTAATAAAAACATACTTTACTGACATTTAAACTTTTCTCAGCTCTCTGTCACTTTCATCCTGATTTCTGTGAAAACTTCAGATTTCTTTAACCTTTCAGGAAATTTAAGGACGACTTGAAGCAACACGCTGCCTTGAAGAAAGTTCCATACGTGGACTCGTGCGGAAATCAGCTGAAACCAGCTGAACCAAACGGCATCAAGATGGAGAAGTTTGTTTTTGATGTCTTTCCCTTCTCCAGGTAAGAAATATTCAACACCTCAGCTACTGAACAACTTGAACAACTGAACCTCGGTGTTACTTTACCAAGTCCATTCGTTTTATTGGCTGATAATAATGAGTTGGATCGTTTGATTGGCTGACACTAACGGGTCCGATTGTTTTATTGGCTCAAAATAATGAGTCGCATCATTTTATTGCTGATAATTGCCTCTAAGGAGGCCAGCAGACAAGTTGAGTCTTGGATTCGTTGCAGTCTCAAGATGGGAGACTGCAACGAATCCAAGATTCATCTTGTCTGCTGGATTCCTTAGATAGAGAACTTTACTAATTGGCTTTTATGTGAATGTTTCTGTAAAGTGCCCTGAGACAACTTTGTTGTGATTTGGCGCTATATAAATAAACTGAATTGAATTGAATAATGAGTCGAATCGTTTGATTGGCTGATAATAATAATGGTCCACCCTAAGGACAAAACACCCATACATAAACAGAGTGGTGTAGTGTATGCAGTCCAATGCAGCGAGGACTGTCCAGACCTCTACATTGGAGAAACTAAACAGCCTCTTCACAGACGCATGACTCAACACAGGAGAGCTACTTCCTCAGGACAAGATTCAGCTGTTCACCTCCACCTCACAGATAAGGGTCACTCTTTTGAGGACCAAAATGTGCACATTTTGGACCGAGAACACAGATGGTTTGAGAGGGGGGTGAAGGAAGCAATTTATGTAAAAAGAGAAAAGTCGTCTCTTAACAGAGGAGGAGGCCTCAGATTTCCACTTTCAAAATCATATAATGCAACTTTAAAACAAATTCCCAGCCGGTTTTCACACCTGATGGGAACAGAGGGGCCTCGTCTGTGAATTAGAGTAACAAGGACCTTAAGAAACCCCTACTGTTAAGGTGTTTAGGTGTGACTTGTCAGTCTACATTCAGGTCCTTCTAAAAAAATTAGCATATTGTGATAAAGGTCATTATTTTCCATAATGTAATGATAAAAATGAAACTTTCATATATTTCAGATTCATTGCACACCAACTGAAATATTTCAGGTCTTTAATTGTTTTAATACTGATGATTATGGCATACAGCTCATGAAAACCCAAAATGCCTGTCCCAAAAAATGAGCATATCATGAAAAGGTTCTCTAAACAAGCTATTAACCTAACCATCTGAATCAACGACGTAACTCTAAACACCTGCAAAAGATTCCTGAGGCTTTTAAAAACTCCCAGCCTTGTTCATTACTCAAAACCGCAATCATGGGTAAGACTGCCGACCTGACTGCTGTCCAGAAGGCCATCATTGACGCCCTCAAGCAAGAGGGTAAGACACAGAAAGAAATTGCTGAACAATAGGCTGTTCCCAGAGTGCTGTATCAAGGCACCTCAGTGGGAAGTCTGTGGGAAGGGAAAAGTGTGGCAGAAAACGCTGCACAACGAGAAGAGGTGACCGGACCCTGAGGAGGATTGTGGAGAAGGGTCGATTCCAGACCTTGGGGGATCTGCGGAAGCAGTGGACTGAGTCTGGAGTAGAAACATCCAGAGCCACCGTGCACAGGCGTGTGCAGGAAATGGGCTACAGGTGCCACATTCCCCAGGTCAAGCCACTTTTGAACCAGAAACAGCAGCAGAAGCGCCTGACCTGGGCTACAGAGAAGCAGCACTGGACTGTTGCTCAGTGGTCCAAAGTACTTTTTTCAGATGAAAGCAAATTTTGCATGTCATTCAGAAATCAAGGTGCCAGAGTCTGGAGGAAGACTGGGGAGAAGGAAATGCCAAAATGCCAGAAGTCCAGTGTGAAGCACCCACAGTCAGTGATGGTCTGGGGTGTCATGTCAGCTGCTGGTGTTGGTCCACTGTGTTTTATCAAGGGCAGGGTCAATGCAGCTAGCTATCAGGAGATTTTGGAGCACTTCATGCTTCCATCTGCTGAAAAGCTTTATGGAGATGAAGATTTAATTTTTCAGCACGACCTGGCACCTGCTCACAGTGCCAAAACCACTGGTAAATGGTTTACTGACCATGGTATTACTGTGCTCAACTGGCCTGCCAACTCTCCTGACCTGAACCCCATAGAGAACCTGTGGGATATTGTGAAGAGAAAGTTGAGAGACGCAAGACCCAACACTCTGGATGAGCTTAAGGCCGCTATCGAAGCATCCTGGGCCTCCATAACACCTCAGCAGTGCCACAGGCTGATTGCCTCCATGCCACGCCGCATTGAAGCAGTCATTCATGCAAAAGGATTCCCGACCAAGTATTGAGTGCATAACTGAACATGATTATTTGAAGGTTGGTGTTTTTTGTATTAAAAACACTTGTCTTTCATTGGTGGGATGAAATATGCTAATTTTTTGGACAGGCATTTTGGGTTTTCATGAGCTGTATGCCATAATCATCAGTATTAAAACAATTAAAGACCTGAAATATTTCAGTTGGTGTGCAATGAATCTGAAATATATGAAAGTTTCATTTTTATCATTGCATTATGGAAAATAATGACCTTTATCACAATATGCTAATTTTTTGAGAAGGACCTGTATGTATGTGTATCTTATCTCAGCCTTATAACCTGTATCTCTCACTCTCTGCTCTTTGAATTGAGAAAGCTCCTCGGATGAGGAGCGAAACGTCTTCTGTTACAAATAAAGTCCAGTTGTTTTTGTATTGAACGCTTTTTGAATTTAGCATGTCCTGGATGACTGAGAATCTTCACCAGTCGTGTCATTTGATTGGCTGATAATAACGAGTCAGGTCATTTGATTGGCTGATAATAACGAGTCGGATCGTTTGATTGGCTGATAATGAGTCGGATCGTTTGATTGGCTGATAATGAGTTGGATCGTTTGATTGGCTGATAATAACAAGTCAGGTCATTTGATTGGCTGATAATAACGAGTTGGATCGTTGGATTGGCTGATAATAACAAGTCAGGTCATTTGATTGGCTGATAATAACGAGTTGGATCATTTGATTGGCTGATAATAACAAGTCAGGTCATTTGATTGGCTGATAATAACGAGTTGGATCGTTTGATTGGCTGATAATAACAAGTCAGGTCATTTGATTGGCTGATAACGAGTCGGACCATTTGATTGGCTGATAATAACGAGTCAGATCGTTTGATTGGCTGATAATAACGAGTTGGATCATTTGATTGGCTGATAATAACGAGTCAGGTCATTTGATTGGCTGAGAATAACGAGTCGGACCATTTGATTGGCTGATAATAACGAGTTGGATCATTTGATTGGCTGATAATAACGAGTCAGGTCATTTGATTGGCTGATAATAACGAGTTAGATCGTTTGATCGGCTGATAATAACGAGTCGGACCATTTGATTGGCTGATAATAACGAGTCAGATCATTTGATTGGCTGATAATAACGAGTCGGACCATTTGATTGGCTGATAATAACGAGTCGGATCGTTTGATTGGCTGATAATAACGAGTCAGGTCATTTGATTGGCTGAGAATAACGAGTCGGACCATTTGATTGGCTGATAATAACGAGTTGGATCATTTGATTGGCTGATAATGACGAGTCAGGTCATTTGATTGGCTGATAATAACGAGTCGGATCGTTTGATTGGCTGATAATAACGAGTCGGATCGTTTGATTGGCTGATAATAACGAGTCAGGTCATTTGATTGGCTGAGAATAACGAGTCGGACCATTTGATTGACTGATAATAACGAGTTGGATCATTTGATTGGCTGATAATAACGAGTCAGGTCATTTGATTGGCTGATAACGAGTCGGACCATTTGATTGGCTGATAATAACGAGTCAGATCGTTTGATTGGCTGATAATAACGAGTTGGATCATTTGATTGGCTGATAATAACGAGTCGGACCATTTGATTGACTGATAATAACGAGTTGGATCATTTGATTTGCTGATAATAACGAGTTGGATCATTTGATTGGCTGATAATAACGAGTCAGGTCATTTGATTGGCTGATAATAACGAGTTAGATCGTTTGATCGGCTGATAATAACGAGTCGGATCGTTTGATTGGCTGATAATAACGAGTCAGGTCATTTGATTGGCTGAGAATAACGAGTCGGACCATTTGATTGACTGATAATAACGAGTCGGACCATTTGATTGGCTGATAATAACGAGTTGGATCATTTGATTGGCTGATAATAACGATTCGGATCGTTTGATTGGCTGATAATAACGAGTCAGGTCATTTGATTGGCTGATAATAACGAGTCGGATCGTTTGATTGGCTGATAATAACGATTCGGATCGTTTGATTGGCTGATAATAACGAGTCAGGTCATTTGATTG